GCTCCCCCCAGGCGCCAGCTGCGCGCCTGCCCTGCCCTGCCCTGCCCGTGTCGTGTCGTGTGTCGGCGGAAACGAACGCTCCCGACGCTTCCAGGTAACCCTGTGGCCGTTACCTGCGGTTCCTGTAATAGCACGGCAAGCGGCCGGACGTAGTCACGGAGTGATGTCTTTTGTACGCGCTGCACCGTAATGAGTTGTTGCTATTTGATCACTGCGAAGTGCTAGCGCGGCTTCCCTATTTCCGCAAGTAGTATAACGATACCTTTCTTTAGATCAGCCTCGGTTCTTTGGGATCCATGGAAATAAGTAGCACCGTGAAGAGAGTCTGCTTAGTCCGACTTTGTTGTCATTATAGCTGTGTATTCTTACAGTCATTGAATTCCGACATTCATTATGTATGAACTCCCTATTGATCTCTATAGACTACTTTCATTAAGATAAAGACTTTTAATCAAGTGATCGCTTTGCAGTGTATTTTTTTCCAGCTGTAACTTTTGCTGTCCTGTTTTCTTGTAGGTGGATTGGAATTCTTGTTCTTTACACTGTTCATAAAGGGCAGTTCGACTGCACTGGAGGAGGATTATTGCACAGCTACTTGCTCGTCCTCCTAATTCTCCTGGCTGCCATAATATGTGCGTTATCCGCTATTGTATGCGTCAGTATGCGAGGTACATAGTTAAAGAGTATATAATATTCTATATATAGTAGAATTATAATAGATTGTTTTTTAAAATCTGGAGTTGATATTTAAAAAGCAAGAACAAACCTTGCAAAAAAGTTCAAGTGCTTTAGCGGTATTCAAGCTTAAAAAACTATCTGTCACCATTAATTTGCTCTAATACTATTAACTCTGTTAGTCAGGATTCGAAAATAATGAACAGAGACTGTGGTTATAATGTGTGTTTTTTTGCTAGCAGTGGTTTTTACACCACCCCTTGCACTGTACTGCCGTGGGCATTAATTATGCCAATGGTGACCTTGGCTGGAGAACTCATCCGCTGGGTTGTGGTGCAGGGAAAGGAAAGTTTTTCGTTTGTTTTCCCAGATTCCACAGTTCATTTGATTGCGTCCACGCAAGCAGCCATGCTGCTGCAACACGGGGAACAGCATGGGAACAGGAATAAGTAGCCGTTGAGTCAGGGATTTTTTTTAAACAGCTTCGCCCCTGGATATGAACCACACCTTTACAATTAGAGAATAGTTTCCGAAGTTATTGTTATGCAGCCCTCACACGAGTACACACACACACACACACACACACACACACACACACACACCACCTTCATTATTGTGTGATCAACAGACTGCTTTAAGGAGCTAAGCTGGCCATAAAAATACACCCTTTTTTATTGCCTAAGAGTGCTAAAAGGAAGAGGTGGTTAGTAAATTAACAACACAGAAAACATAGTAGATATTCTAATAAATGTTTTGTTTCTGGAAATGGTCCTGCATTCTTTTTCTCCTAAATAAAAAGCACGAGTACCCTCAGAATTAATTTATTATTTAGTGACTGAACTGAGTGAAAAGAACTTCATTGCATGTAATCCTGCAAAGCAGCATCTCTAAAATTGCGATGTTCAGCTGACTGCACTATTATTTGCTTCACAATCTGTTCTGTATTAGTATGTATTATCTTTCACAATGCTGTTTTATTGGGTGACAAGTTTTTTGTCTGTAATTCTTGGTAGCTAACTATTAACTCCTATAAAGCATTTAGAAATTGCTGAGATGTCTTTCAGCTCAATTTTGATGGCTTTGGCAATGAACAGAATCAGCAATATTCCTCATGCTTCAAATCTACGTCATTTTTGTTTCTTTTAACCACTTAAATGCATTTTTGTCATCTCCACAAAATCCTTTCTCTAGATTACTTCTGTTTTTCAAAAAATTGGAACATATCTGACTTTAAAATGATCACATAGAGCAGGAGAGTGAATAATTCCCCGAGCTAAAATAAAGATGTGATAGTCATTGTCTACTTTCCCAGGAAATAAACCGTGATAGGGATTAAACTCTGAATTCAAGGGAATTAGTCTTATAAAATTCTGCTTTGCTGTCCTTACCAAGAGGAAATTTCGTTGCTTGTTTGTATATATTGTTAATAGGTAGTCAGGCTTACCGAATAGGAAAAAAAATGTTATGGTAATAACAGGAGTTTTTTTAGATATAGCTCAAGTGGACTTGAAAAAAAAGTCTGAGGTTTGGTGGTTTTTAAATATAGGAATGTATCACTTAATAGACAGGACTATCCTGAAATCCTAGAATGAAACGATGGAAATCAGAGTAAAAATGCTTTTGGTTTTGTTTATAGTAAATAGATAGAAGCTGGCAGCAAAAGTCATAGGGAAATGGAGGTGAGGCAACGCTCTAGTTTGCAGCTTTGGCTTATGCTGGGCACAGCACTGCTACCTCAAGTTCACTGCAAAACTCTCTCTTACTAGAGAGTGATATTATTGGGAATTAGTGGAACAGATTGTAAGAATCATGGCTCTAAACCATTGTTGCTTTTCTTTTTTCAGCTTCAATGGTAGCTTTCCATTAAAGTTTGAAAGAATTTATAATTTTGATTAAATTTCTTATTTTCTGCAAAGCTCAAAAAGCTCATGTATCTTTGTAGGATTTTATATCTCAGGATGCCTTTGTAAACAGCTCTTGTTTTAAAATATCCCTGTAATTTCAGGAACAATTTCTAATCCAGGGCCAAGAAAATCTCTTCCCAAACTACTTTATACGCGCCTACTTCTCTATTTGCCTGAATTCATCTGGGCTATTGTAGGAGCTGTATGGGTGTCAGACAGCAGTGTGCACTGCGAGAGGACTGTGATGAATGTCATATTTGGGACAGTTGTTGCAAGGTAATAGCGCTATACCTGTTTTGTATGTATTCATTTCAGACTTTTTCTGGCAGTTAAAGGTTTTGATATTTCTTTTAAATTATTTTAGTTTCTCATAGAAGAGTTTCACGGTGAGTGGAGAAAAACTTCTAAAGCTATACAACTAGAATAAATTGATATCCTTCCACAAACAGGTTTGAGCTTCCTGCCTTGCAGAGCACATACATAATAGGGTGAAAGATGAGGAGATGAAGAACCGAAGGGATATGAAGGATAGATGGGGATGTAGAAAGCAGGATAAATGTGGAGAGGAGAGTGACTAGATCACTTAACCGGTAGTGAAATACTAAGCTTTGGCAAGTCTTTTTAAGGTACAGGGTTATGGTTTTGAGTTTGGTGCTCTGTGGAATGAGCTGGCAGTTATGCCTAGTGGGTTGAAAGCCCAGTAAAAAAGCATTCACCCTTATGACAGTAACAGATGATGTTCTTACAGTATCTCATACTTAACTTTGTTTTCTGTCTATTGAGATCTGTAGTTGCGTTTCCCTGCATATTTCAGAAGTGTCTGATTTCATGGCCTTTTCGTCCCATTTCCTTCTGTTTTGCAGCTGGATTATCATCATCTTCACCATTATTGGAGTTGTAATCGTCTTTGATCCACTTGGAGGAAAAAAGACAGTTTACCTCACCGATGGTGTAAACCGGAACCTGGAAAGCAGTCAGTCAGGGCAATTGCTATATAACATGAAGAGCACTGCTACTAGAGTCTGGGAAAAAAGAATCAGGTTACTGTGTTGTTGTATTGTGCAAGATGATGACCATCGAGTGGCTTTTACAAGTATTGCAGAGCTTTTCCGCGCCTACTTTTCAGTAAGATGGAAAGCTTTTTTTTAATGTTCTTTTTTTCTGCTTTTGGCTAACACTGAACTCCCCATATTGCAATGCATTCACGTATACATTTGTTCAGCAAGAGTTCACTGCTACCCTGTGCTTTAAAATCAGGTTTTGAATATGCCAATTTTAAAATTAAAGGTGGTTCTCTTATAACATACGCCACACTGATTTTTCCTTCTCTTTTAAAAAAGTTTCTCTCCCGTCACAAGCGTGAAGGGCTTGTGAGGTGAGAAAATGGCATTTCTCCTTAGG